ATTTCATGGTAGGGGGAGCCATCTGCTGGTCATATTCAACAATAGATTTTCCAAAGTGTCTTTCATTTTCATTGAACAATATATGTTTGCTTATATTGTATTTTATATATAAGTGAATTATGTGCCATGCATATTAAATGCATAAGCATGTAAAGAAACAAATCTTGTAATTTGTCATTCAGTGGTTCAACTTTGTAATTGTATACTGATAGTCTAACCCTAATGAAGATTCAAACTCCCTTTATGGATGCACCTAAACTTGAATGTTTGTATTTGTGTATGTATATGCACAGTAAATGTGAGTATGTTTCTCAGTTTTTGTTTCCCTCCACCTACATTTGTGAACTAAAACAAAGAGTTGGTAACTTAGTGGAAAGTGATGAATAGGTTTGCTGGCGCCATCACTCGTACAATGAAGGTGCCAGGGCAGGGTGCAGAAATGTTCAAAGTCATTGTTCCCCTGGAGACGGGTCAGCGTATTGGTCAAAGCCTGATGCGACTCTACTGTGCTTTATCCTCATGTGCACCCGAACACCTCCACCCACAGCCAAGCGCTGAGGATTCTCACATTTATTTCCAGTAAAATCTCCCTCCCAACTGCAGCGTATGCACAAACATCTCCTTGATGTTTGCAATGCGTCCTCTGATGTTTACCTGCATAAATAATGTCTTTGGTGTGCCTTTGTAGAAGAGATCATGTGTGTAATGTTATTCTGAATCTGGTATATATCAGTAAAGTGATAACGTATCACGACATGGTCCCATGCACTGTACGTTTAACTTGGCTGGTCATTTAAAAAGACACTTGACTGGGTAAAAGCGTGTAAAGTAATGCAAACAGCCTGGTCTTAAACCATAACACACCGGCAATAGTGAAACTGTGCAGTTTTTATCTTAGACAGCCATTTATGATCCTTAAAATGTACTTTTATTGATGTAACCTAGCCAGGTTGAATAGATCTTTGAACTGAATAAACAATGTTAATTGAGATATTACCAAATTAAGCACATTTTAATACTACATGATAAATGTTCTTACAGTCAATAATATATGCTGTCAAAACCTGTTTTCAGCTATTTTAATCAGTGGATGTACAAATCATTTGTTTGGTATATAGGCTACATGCATCACTTATTATCACAAAATAATTTTTATAGAAAAGTATATATCAAAAATATATATTTTTATATAGAAAATGATAACAGATAGATAATATAATAATATAACAGATCATATTTATATAAAATAATAATATATAAAATATATTAATAATATATAAAATAAAAATATATTTACAATATATACATATAAGTTGTTATCATTGTTAAAACAATGTATTGAATAATTATGTACATTTTTAAGGATTCATATATCCATTTAAAAAACACAATATTGCAGAACTATAAAAAGAACCACATAGTAATGTTTAATAAATCTAATGCAATTGAAACATCATTAGATATTGTAATATCGTCAAATTTACAAAGATTCACACAAAAAAATCCAATTTAAGTCAGTTGAGTGGTCTAGTTATCGATATTAATCTTCATGAATTTTGTCTCACTTGAAAAGTTGAATCTGAGGAACAGAGAGCGTGAGTGTATGCGAAACTGTCAAAGACACGCCGAGCGCCCTGAGAATCCCCACGCAAGGCACACCTTATTAAACACTGCCTGATAGGGTCAATAGCCCGCTCTCCCAACACCACCCTAGAACAATTTCAATTTTAATAGCTTTTACTATGTATTTCACAGGCAAGCCCCCATTGAAATAGAGCCATCAAAAAGTCCCGCCGACAGATTCAAGCCCGGGAGCTTGGCGTAATTATCCCAGCGGACGCGCGCCTGTGTAAGGTAGTTCAACCTCGTTCATCATCTCCAGCAGGCCCCGGACTCTGCCTGCTAATTTCATCCCCAGGATTAGCTTTGCTCACTTGTCTATCTTGTTATATTTCTTGAGGGTGAAATATCGCCTTCCACTTTTAATAAGGCTGAGCGGGGCCACGCACCGTTGCCTGCGCGCGGCATACGCGCGGAAAAGGGGGCAGAAGGGGAGCAAAACTTTGCCGCACGCTCTTCTGGGGAGTGACCGGAGAGAAAGAGTGAAGGTGAAAGCGTATGCCTGCGATACCTGCAGGGCAATGCAAGCTGTTTGCTCTCTGAATAGAAAAGAAAAAGAGGTGTGTGGGAGCTCTGGGCCGTGCGCGCTGATACACCTCCAGAGAATGCTCGTGCGCACCGAAATTAGCAGACGTTCGCGAGGCGGAGAACAAGCGTGACATCTTATTAAACTTGTGGATCAAATCCACGTATCCTCAGATCATTTGCCATCCGTTTGTCACCTTCACCCTCCACCTCGCGCGCCCTGTGCTTAATTACAATGTATTGTGTTTAAAGGGGCAATTAAAGCCATCACACCAATGGCGTTTTGGACTTTAATTACCCATTGACAATAAGGCTAAATGCTGCTATGTAGGATACTTTTAATAGCTTACAGTGCACCAATTGACGTTTATTTTTGCTCTTTGTTTTAGAACATAAGCAAACACTTACAAATAACTGCTAACCTGCATTAAGGAAGGCATTATTAGAAAATGTATAATGCATATCAGTAGTTAATGCACATGTAAATCTATTAAACATTATACTAATGTTTATTTTTATAGAGCAGTGGTTTTCAACCTTTTTTGGCCCCACATTGTCCAACAAATTTATTTTTAATATTTGTTTTATTTTTATATATGTTTTTAATATTTTTTTATAAATAGAAACTGGGAAACAAAACTAATAGAACTGTATTACTATTTTTTAAAGATTATTCTATTTTATTAATAACAATATGCATTGTATTAATAATAATATATTCATTTGAACAATTTTTAGTCATCCTGCAGCCCCTTTCTGGCCCACTATTATTTTGCATACTGTATTATTCCATTTTGTTGTGGCAGTGACCACTTAATACAATGAATTGTGTCTCTGCAGGCAAAAGTTAACTTAGTTTAACCTTAAAATAGGTGGACCGTGTTATCAAATATGTGCCTGACAGTCCAGGCCAAAAGCTTGAGTAAAAAACCTAGACCTAATTACATTCGGATCACAGTGACATGAAGTATTTCAAAACACTGCTAGCTATTATTCTGTTTCTGCTCACCTTGAAATATTCAAAAGCTCACATATCACTCATTCATCGGGCAGAAAAATTGAAAAGAGAGACGGCAAAATATAATTAACCTTGTTACAGCCAGGTCAAACAACCGATTGTTATTCGTTTCATATGACAGCGCTTTGAGGCAATATTTTCCCAGGGAGACTCACGGCATATGACATAAATTGAGATAAAAATGAAAACAAGAAACCTGAATTAATACTACTGTACTGTATCAAATAAAAAGCTTCTTGGCACCTGTGAGATACCCTTAAGCAGTTTAGAGGTAAATCGCTATTGAACCAGATCCTTTTAGCTACTGGAGCTTATTGCTTCAGACTTTCATCACAGAGGCCGGCTAACATTTGATACTTCATCATCTACCCGTGGCCTCACAGGAGCCACTGAGAACACCTGACACACACTGCTTACGGATACAACATCTCAGTGTTAAAATGAAGTGGATTTATAACAACAATATTAATATTTTGATATTTAGATATAATATTCTTTATACACAACATTAACCATTGTAGGATTGTAAATGTGCATTTTGTTGCTTTAACAAGGAATCCCAAAAGTCATGAAAATGCATTATTTATAATCACAATGTACCCGATCATTAGGTTTGTTGGATCAATTCATCAATGTTATTCATTTAAATTAATTACCATATTTGAAATAAATGAATGAGCAAGTACAAACTGGTAAGAGCATGATTAGACAGTGTTATTGAACGTTTCTCTCTGGTGGTCCAGACCTGATCTGGTCTTGGTGTTTCCTGCTTAATTAAGACTCAGCTGTCACATTGTGCATTACTTCTGCAACCCTCTTGTGAGTGAATTGCCTCCGTCCATTAATATTTACAGCCTAATATCTGCAACCCCGAGAAGCCACAGCACTCAAATTATATGTCAGATAATTAAAAGAATAATTATGAATGGTCAGCAAGGTATGATCCATATTTCATAGATGACTGTGTGTTTATTATCCATTTTTCACAGTTTAAATGTATTTTGTATGCAGATAAGCACAGGACACTTTTTAATTAACCGTGAGGGGCATTATGAGCAACTTTGTTGTCAAATATTTTGTATTTATCATGCATATATACTCAAAAACAGGTCGAATTATGGGTTAATATATACAATATTTTATAGTATTATCATAATTTAATTATTTACTATCATAATTTATGAATAATAATGAGAAGCATTTTATGTTTCCTTTTTATAGTTTTACTCACTCAATTAATTTTTATAAAAAAAGGAAATGAGTTTTGTGACGCTCTTGATGACACATAAGCACAGGCGTATGAGGTCATCATCATCATTTATTCTTATATTACACAAATGCTATCCATCTTAAAGATGATTCCGTTAGTATTCAGTACACTCCATACTATCCTATACAATGTGCCGCACTTCCCCTCTCACATAAAGACGGTCATTAATTGAATCACATAATTTTCCTCCCTGCCTCCCACAAAAGGCCATTTGCAACTTCAGGTGTGGCGGGATAATAGGGGATGATATTTCTATCCAACAATGCCAGGGGCAGACTCTGATCATTTTCTCTTCTGAAGGTTAAACTTAGATAACCTGCCTTTGGCATTTAATCAGCTACTTGTTAAATACTCTTTTGGTAATAAAATAATTTACAATTTTATTGCTTCTCAAGTAAGGCTCTTTTTAAATGGATTTAACGACTTTGTAAAGGCTTTGCTGAACGCATCCCTAGTTAAGATAGTGTGTAAAAGCCTAATTCTAATGATATGCTTTACAGCTTGCAAAATCGCAATGATATTCATTCAAATGACTTTGGTAATCACTGTGCGTAAATTAGAAATACCTGTCCCGTCGGCAGACGTTTAAAGGGATAGCATCCCACCAGACAGCATTCATCGCTATAAAAGTCTGTGTGGTTTCTAGAAAAGGAATAGAGACATATGAGTGTTTGCACTTTAAAATACAATCCTTATCGAATTTAGAGATATCATGAATGCATTACTTTATGATAACTAGCATTTATCAGTCTGGGTTATTGTTAATTTTACATTTACAATATTTCAAGTTGTATGAATTAAAATTAGCCTGTATTATGAACAAATATGAATTAACTGTATTTATTCATTTACATTAACCTAGATTAATAAGCAATTAAAATTGTTGTTCATTTTTAGTTCATGATACCTAATGCTTTAACTGGTCCTAATTTTAACACATCCTAGTATATATTTAACATTAGCATTAAGTTTTCAATCATATTTAATGCATTACTTTATGATAACTAGCATTTATTAGTCTTGGTTAATGTTATTTTACATTATACAAAAACATTTTTAACATTTCAAGTTGTATGATTTAAAATTAATGCTTTATGAACAAACATGAATGAACAATATGTATTCATATTTAATAAGTTACATTAAGCTAGATTAACACATGCTGCAAAAATTGTTCATTTTAAATTCCTGATACATAATGCATTAATTAATGCTAATTTTACACATTGTATATTTTTAACATTTCAAGTTATATAAATGAAAATTAATGCATTATGAACAAGCATGAATTAACGATATTTCTTATTTTACATTAACTTAATAATAATGTAATAATTAAGTAATAAATAAATGCTGTAAAATTGTTGTTCATTTTTAGTTCCTAAAAATTTTCATTTTCATTTTCAAATTTTCATTTTACATATACTAGTACATTTTTAATGCTTTATGCTAAATTAATGTATCATGAACAAACATAACAATATTTATTAATTTACATTAAAGACTTTATTTATTTGAACCTTATTATAAAGTGTTGCCAGATTAGACAGTTGGCAACATTTAGTCATTTTGGGGGGAAAAGTCCTGTACAGTGTTGACAACACATTAAAAGCTGGAAGTATTATTTGGAGGGGGAAAAAAACGCTTTCACCTTCCAACATTTTCTTCTGAAGACTTGATTGTCTGCCCTTCAGACTCCAGATATGGTCATGCTTCCTGTCCACTGACACCCATATAAATGGCCTTATTATCTCCCATTGGGGTGGGGGAATCTGGTGTGGTCTGGTCCAATGAATCACCAGCAAGCTCTCCTTTTTTTGGCCAGGCTCCAGCTCGTTTTCTCATTAGGTTCCAGTGCCTGTTAATGACAAAGTAACAATAACTCACCTGGATTAAAAGCCTAAATCTGCAGTTGAGTGGCAGCGTGACCAGCTAATGAGGTGCATTTGGGTAAATTGTTGACAGTGCTCTTCAAGGAGAAGGAGGGGCTATCTTTAATTTACCAAAGCTATGACAACAGCGGAAAGAGCAAAGTCAAGCAGATGAAGATGAATACACCAGTTGGGTCCCCGGGAACTTCTGCAATAGTGCATGACAACCTAAAATGCTCTTGTCACCAATGAGCGTCACATTCGCCTGTGGGCACTTAGTGGGGGAATAAGAAGCCGTCAGGATGACAGATTGCCAAAGACGGGGACTTGTGGGGAAAAATGAGAAATGAACATTTGGTGGCGGCAGCACACAATGGCTGACAGTTACGTGATATGCTCATGTCAATTTAATAATTCTGTCACTGGGCGAGTGCAAAAGAGGGAACGTATGAGAGAAATCATTAACTTCATACAGGCCTCCATATTCTGTGAAGGGTTACGTTAGAGCAACTCTTTGGAGATTTCAAAAACAACACATTGTTTAGGCCTGGGTTTGCATGTTTCACATGTCAGCGTTAAGGGAAGAAATGCAGCCCATGTGAGAATGCATGAAACTCATTGTTCAGGAATGTGATGTGCCTGAAGATTACTTGACTTCCTGATTAATTGGTCAGAATCTAATAATCTGCAGACAAGCAGCATATCTCAATTTGTTTTGAATAATGCTGTCATTTTATACGGCAACCAACTTAAAATGACATTTTAGTACAATTATTTTCTTACAGGGTTTTTTCACATGCTGAGGTGCATTTCACTGCGTGTGTATATTAGCATGTGATTATTAAACCAGCAATATCACAATCCAGATTAATTAAATTACAACAACACATGATTATTCTTTCATTCTTTCATTTAGACAGATTTTACTCTGTAGTCTCAGCTATTTAGTGGGAGCTTGAAAGTTCGGAAAAGATAAAAGAAAACAAAGACAAAAGAAAACATTGGCCAATCAAACACAAATTGTGTTGTAACTGAATAATTATGTATACTTACATGGTTTATAAAAAATAAATAAATTGTGTAAAAAAACTGTTTAATATTACGTCATGTTACCTCATGTGTTAACTAATTTTAATAAAAAACTATATTGTAAAGTGGTAATGCTATAGTCTCAGTTATTTAAAGGGACCTATGTTTGGATTGGGAAAATATTAGGCTACTGTTAAAAGAAAAGAAAAGAAAAGAAAAGAAAAGAAAAGAAAAGAAAAGAAAAGAAAAGAAAAGAAAAGAAAAGAAAAGAAAAGAAAAGAAAAGAAAAGAAAAGAAAAGAAAAGAAAAGAAAAGAAAAGAAAAGAAAAGAAAAGAAAAGAAAAGAAAAGAAAAGAAAAGAAAAGAAAAGAAAAGAAAAGAAAAGAAAAGAAAAGAAAAGAAAAGAAAAGAAAAGAAAAGAAAAGAAAAGAAAAGAAAAGAAAAGAAAAGAAAAGAAAAGAAAAGAAAAGAAAAGAAAAGAAAAGAAAAGAAAAGAAAAGAAAAGAAAAGAAAAGAAAAGAAAAGAAAAGAAAAGAAAAGAAAAGAAAAGAAAAGAAAAGAAAAGAAAAGAAAAGAAAAGAAAAGAAAAGAAAAGAAAAGAAAAGAAAAGAAA